CTTCTTCGAGTGACCTTTTTCCCTCTTCGTTCGACGTCATCTTCCTTCCACCGCGAGTTGCTCTTCGCCTATTACTTGGAGTTATCTTCTACCGCGAGTTGGGTTAGAGTCTCCTTCGACCAACCGTTGAAAGTTCTTCTTCGTGGTTCCATCCATTAGTCTGTCTGCTCGGTAACGCTTGGTTTCGCTCGGTATCGCTAGGTACATGCTCAGTACCGCTAGGTACATGCTCGGTACCACTCGGTTCAATAATGGTTGGTACCACTAGGTACATGCTCGACACTACTCAGTACCGCTTGGTATCGAGCAGGTACATGCTCGGTACAGCTCAGTACATGATCGGTACTGCTAGGTACATGCCCGGTACCGCTCAATATCTTTCCATACAAACAACAGGTTGAACCCTGCCAGGGGGCAGCGCCCCCTTGGACCCCCGGCAGATCGATATATTATTGTATTCATCATCTTTAGTAATAGTTGTTAGTGTTACTTTGCTTCTTCATGGGTGCATGCTTTGCATAAGTTTTCTTAATGTAGAAAAAGTGAAGCATTATGTTTAGGGAATCGATATATTGTACTAATATATTCTTCTCATAAAGGATGGTCAGAAGTGAGGATAAAGCTGCATCAGGTCATAGAAAAGATCCAGCATAGAAATATAACACTCAGGTGAATGTAGGGGAAGTGATAAAACATATATCTATCTAAAATGCAATTACTGTGATAAAGTTTTGAAGGGTTGTGTGACTAGGATGAAGGATCACCTTTCAAGATCTCACAAGAATGTTGTTCCATGCTCCAAAGTTACTGATACTGTAAGGGAGGAGATAAAGTCATACATGAATAAGTCTACCACGTCAAAACATCTTATACATAAGCAATTTAAGGACAGAGTTGATGTTGGCTCTTATAACGAGAGTGAGCGCAGCATTAGGGATTCATCTTCTTCGATGAAGCCCATTTCATCTAGGGGTACTAGACGTCCTATGGATCCTTATATGATGGACACATCAGAGGATAGGCCTCCTACTACACAAAAGATGACCCTAGAAAATGCAAGGGAGGCACAGAGAAGAGTGTGTAAGGATATATGTAGATTCTTCTACGAAAATGCAATTTCATTTAATATTGCAACATCACCTGCCTATTATAACATGATTTGTTCAATTGGAGCATTTGGGAGAGGGTTCAAACCTCCAACCATGTATGATTTGAGAACATGGATTCTGAAGGAGTTGGAAAACACTGATAAAAGTATCGAAGAAATTAAAAGGACTTGGGCCCAAAAAGGAGTAACAATTATGTCAGATAGGTGATCTGATATCAAACATAGAAGTCTAATAAAAATTATCATTAATAATCCTTATGGTACTGTGTTTTATAGGTCAGTTGAAGCATCTAACCAGGTCAAAGATGCTGAGTTAATATTTGGATTATTAGATAGCATTGTTGAGGAGGTTGAAGAACATTTGGTTGTACAAGTTGTGACAAATAATGCAAGTGCTTACAAGGCTACAGGTAACAAACTTATGGAGAAGAGGAAATATCTGTATTGGACTCCATGTGCAGCACATTGCATAGATCTGATTCTTGAGAAGCTTAGGGAGCTACCTCAACATAAGAATGCAGTTACTGAAATAAAAAAATAACCAAATTTATTTACAACCACTTTTAGGTTCTAGCTCTTATGAGAAAATTTTTAAAGAAAGAAATTCTAAGGCCAGCAGCAACAAGATTTGTCACCGCTTACTTGACCTTAGAGAGCATCTGCTTGACCTTAGAGGCATGCTGAATGCTAGACAATCTTTAGAGGCTATGTTCACACATACACAGTGGTTGAGTTGTGCTTGGGTAAAAAGGCTGAGGAAAAAGAGATTAAAAAAATTATTTTAAATGATAGATTTTGGCAAAATATCTTATATGCCATTACAACAACTAGACCTTTACTTCAAATTTTAAGGATGGTGGATGTTGAGAAGAAGCCTGCAATGTGTTTTATTTACAATGTCATGGATGAAGTCAAAGAATGATTGCCTCCAACTTAGGAGGCGAAGAGGGTAGCTTTAGGAAAATTTGGAATATTATTGATGATAGGTGAGAGCTACAACTTCACAGGCACTTGCATGCAGCTGATTATTATCTAAACCCTCAGTATCAATATACAGAGAACAAGTCTATAAACCCTGAAATAAAGTTGGGATTGTATCATTGTATGGATCGGCTAATAAGTGATGCAACTGAAAGATTAAATGTTGGCATGCAATTGATACCTTTTAGGAACAAAGAAGGTTTTTTTTGGATTAACAAGCAAATAATACAATTGTCAAATGATCTCTAGGTAATTTTATTTAATGTTTTAAACATTTATTTAAAAGTTATTTTTTTCGCACTAATTAAACTCTCTTATATAAATATTAGTTGAGTAGTGGATTCAATTTGACGATGAGACTCCAGAATTGTAGTGTTTTATTGTGAAAGTTTTGGGTTTGGTATTCTCTTCATTTGACTGTGAAAGAAATTGGAGTACCTACAACCAAGTACATACAAAGAAGAGAAATCGCTTGTCTACATTGATGATGAATTAATTGGTGTACATTATATACAATAGGAGACTCAAAGATAGAAATTTGAAGAAAAATGATTAATGGATGATGAAGATTATTTGCTTTGCGATGATGTGGAATTTGATGATGAGTGGTTTGTAAATGATGAAGTTGAAGTGATGTCGTATGAATTACAAGATTAAGATTTAAATGTTGATTTCTTTGATGGTCTTAAAGTATCTACATCCACCACAACTCAAGAATAAATAAAAAAAAGGTATATAAATAATCTAGTTTTCTTAGACTTTTATTAATGTATTACACTATTATTTAATTTGATATTGTTCAAAAATATTTATGGAAGAGAAAGATAACTGATATTGAGGAAGGACCTGATTGGGAGACATTGGCCTCTATAGGAGAGGAGAGGGGGGGGGGAGAGAGCGATTCATCATAATGATGATTCAAATAAAGACCCCCTTAGTGATGACAGTGCTGACGACTAATGAGTTCTTATGTGATATGTCATTGCTATTTATTTTTGGAATTATATGTTAATGAAAAGAATATTGTGATTTGAGAAAGATAGAGTTTGAGTTGAACTATATTTCATGTTGTCTTATTATTTGGATATTTTGATTTCACTTCATATTTTGTACATTTTTATATTTTATATATCATTTACTCATTAGTATATACAAATTTAACATTTTATGTTTATGCAATTTTTTGATTTTGAGGCTTACGCCTCACCTCACAAACGAAAAACGCCTCAATACCCGATTACGCAATTTTAAACATTGATCATGACTTAAGGATATGTATCCAGGAGCTGTTACTTGTATTCAAACAAGGTGATTTGACCAAGTATTTTCCCATTTCAGTTGGATTCTATCAAGGATCAGCTTTAAGTCCATTGCTTTTTGTTTTAGTTATAGATGTTCTTACTAGACATTTGCAAGAGGATGCACCCTCGTGTATGCTTTTTGTTGATGATATTTTTCTTGTTGATAAGACTAGAGAGAGTTGAAGGTAAATTTGAATTATTGAGGTCAATCTTAGAGTTTAAAGATTTTCGTTTGAGTAGACCTAAAACCGAATACATTAATTATAATTTTAGTAGTAATATCTAGTGGGAGAATTGTGACTTTGAGCGATCAAGTCATTAAATAGAGTATATATTTTAGATATCTCAGGTTTATTGTCTAGAGTGATGGTGAAAATGATGGGGATATTATTAGTAGAATTCAAGTTAGATGGTTAAAGTGGAGGAATGCATTGGGCTGTCGTGTGATAGAAAAGTACCCCTAAAACTTGAGGGAAAATTATATAAGATGGTGGTGAGACCTGCAATGCTTTATGGAGTATAATGTTGGCTATTAAAAGAGAGGCATACAATTAAGTTAAGTGTTGTAGAAATGAGGATGCTCAAGTGGATGAGTGGCTTTACTCTTAGAGACAAAATGTGAAACGAGCATACACATGAGAAGGTTGGAGTGGCTCCAATGGTAGATAAGATTAGAGAGAGCCGTCTTAGAAGGTTTGGTCACATAAAACGCTGGTCTTCTGATGACCCTGTCAGGAGAGTATATGAATTAGATTTGACCTATATTAAGAGAGAAAGAAGTAGACCTAAAAAGACTTGGTTAGAAAATATTAAAAATAACATTTTTTTTATTAGATTTAAATGAGAATTTAACTCTTAACAAGACACAATGGAGAAAAAAGATTCACGTAGCCGATCCCATGTAGTGGGATAAATGCTTGATATTGTTGTTATTGTTGTACATAAAATGATGCATTTAAAAAAGAATAAGATATGATATGAACGCAAGTTGAATAAGGTATATGCAAATGTTGAGCAACCTTTTAAATGTTTTTTTTTTCTTTGTATTACAGGTGTTATTTTCCAAACAATATAGATTTGGATTACTATTATTTGTTACCTTGCTAGCATCTGAATGACATAGCTGGCACTGTGGTCTGAGCCAAACCATAACATGCCATGATGGAAAACACTACTACGAGGACATTCAAGATGCAATATTTACCACCAAAAAAAAATATTATACGCTCACTCTTGCAATTGATGTCAGATAGAAATCCATAATAGAATTTCAAATTAAAAAATAAATGCAAAGCCCTCATAATACAAGTATGTTATGTTCAATGCTCTACAGAATTTCAACCATTTCCCAGACTACGCTGAAGGAAGCTTCATAGACTGGAAACAATTTTTTGTATCCTAACAGGCTGATAGTAAGACCTCCTCTACAATAAACTATTCAATAACCGACAAAAAATTGCCCTCATCATTATGAATACGAGTAAAAGTCCCCATCCATCCATAAAAGATCAAAAGATAATTAAAAATACTACATACAAGCATAAACAATTACATCATTTGTGAGTTTGAATAAAATACTCACTTAAAAAGAAATTAATAAAAAAGTTTACCTTGTGTGTGACCAGGAGTTTCCATTACAAGCACCTGATGGCCTGCAAACATCCATGTATCTCCATCATGAAGGGCTATATCAATGCCAGGAATGTTATCCTTATCCTTGCCACAACCAATCACCTATATCCAGTAGGAGACTACGAAATATTATTTTAAGAAAAGCTTACAAAGAACCATCATAACAAAATGTACCTCTGAATATCTAGATTAGAAATATCGTCAGAACATTTTTTTTTGTGTGCATATCATGATTTTAAATAACTAAGTTTTACTTGATTAATAAAATAATAAAATCATCTAGAATCCTCTTCAAAATTAAAATGATAGCATATCAAAGAGAAACCTAAACTTTCTTCAGTTAGACAATTCATCATTTTCATTGAATAATTTATACAAATTGTTAACCTACTCTCAGGTTTACCGCTCTATACTTCAACTTGCAATGAAAAGCACCAAAGATCAACACTTACTAACACCTATTTCATGGGTTCAAAAATTTGCTTTCAACACCAGAAATGAATTTTTAAATTTCAATTGTCACACCTCAGAAAACAACTTAAAATGCTTCCAGGAATTCACCCCATTTCCATTTGAGACTGTACTGTCTTAATTGTTAGTCAATATAGTGCATGCATTTTGCTCGAAACAAGTAATTTCTCCAGCAATGTTAAGTTGTATTTCCAATATATTCCATTTGTGAAAATGCAATAGCATGCAAGGTTTAAAGTTCTCCCTAACTATTCCACTGGGTAGCATAATGAAAATAGCATAACAACATTGAACAAAACCAAAACCCTTCCATATGTGGGATATTTCAAAGAAGCCATAAGAGGTGGTGTCCTCAAATAAACAATATCATGAATATTCGAATTCTTGATTGAATAAACAATTAGGTCAGTGATATCATATTCCAATATTTTTGAATAAAAATTGAGATAATGCTCGTCTAATAAACTCTAATAATAGCTTAAGATTTTATGGAGGAACAACAGTAATCTTTTATGTTTATAAGGAACTTTGTCTACCATTCCATAGTTGGCCAACCTATGTTATGTCATTCTTCGCTGCATGCCATGCAGATAATTAGTTCAAAATGATATAACCAGGAGTTAAGAAAAAACTGATAATTATGGATGGTAAACAAAAATTCAGCTGCATTAGTTTGGTTCCAACAACCTTTCACTATGAATGTTCAATCCCATCCAATTGGTATTGGGCTTGGAGATAAATTCATTGACTTTAGCTTTCTGTATAAAAGTTCAGTTTACCCAAAGCAAAATCCTCAAAGGATAAAAGAATATGGAGGCAGACATATTTACTCAATATGGACAACACTCAACAACAGGGTCAAATACAACTTTCACAATAAGTAAAACTTTAAATTTTATTGATTCTCCAAGGTTAGGATAAATATGCTATTGCTAATGCTGACGATGGTGATGATATTATATCTATTTAACAAAAAATCATTCAAAACCATCTAATGTACCCATTTGTTTCTCGGTTGCTACTCATACTTTCCATCTTATTGATCTTCTTCCCCTTTTCTCTTCTCCCTTATTTTTCCTTCCCCTTATTCCTTCTTATGCTCACTCAATGTCTCTGGATCCATGGACCGACCAGTCATTCTTCCATTCAACTATTTTTTTTCACTTTCCCCTTTTTTCTGTTATTTTCCCTTTTTCACATTCATTTATCTTCTACCTTCCAGTTAACCCTCATCTCCACTCCCCAAACAATAGCACCCACTTAATCTTGAGGTCCTTCACTCCAACCCTCGCATCAAATTCCTTCCATCGATTGAAGGAGCCAACACAAATAAAGTGTAGTTGGTTGTCCATTGCAAGCTATCCAATCTCAGTTTAGGTCCAGTTCCAGACTTTAAGAAAATAAATTGGGTTGATTCAGCTCTCAAATTCAGATACAGTTAAACCAAAAAAAAACAAGTGCATCCTCGATCCCAACATTGCTATCCATGCTAGTTAGATATTTAATAGGCAACCACCAACCTCAAAAGCTACTAGAAAATATAGTAAAAATCTGTGAAAATTTTCTATTAACTGGGACATGAATTGACTATTCTATTTTTTATGAAAAAACCTCCCAAGTATTCTTTATTAGAGGGTAAATTGAACAGAAAAACTAATTAATTGTATATTCTATATTTTAATGAGAAGTTCATCAATAATTTCTTGCTAGGGTGAGATTCTTAATGCAAGATAATTTCTCTGTTGATCTCTTTCATGATGATATAAATGAAAGAATTCAAAGTTGCTATTGATTATACAACAGAGAAAGGAATTTGTCTCATACCTTTGCACCATACCTTTCTTTTAACTCCATATTACCGCCAATGTGATCATAATGATGATGAGTATTGAGGATATATGTTAAGTTCTGATTTCTTCGTGTTAGTGCATCTATGACGGGCAAAGCATCTGAAGGATCAACAACTCCAACTGTACCAGTGTCAATATCATGCAAAAGATATGCATAATTATCATGCAAGCAAGGAACCTGTAGATTAACAGCAGCAACAAGATATTCAGTTGCAGAACAGATTGACCATATAAGATTAGGATGCAAACAGAAAAAAATTATTCACAAGGCAGTACTTAAATAATAAGTTGATCAAATGAGGTGTGGAACTTAAAAATTTAAGAAAAGGATTCCTGAAGCTGAAACTATGTCTAAGCAAACAATTGCAACTATCTCTCACTATTCAAGGAAGATGCCAAGGATTAAACCAATATAAATCTAAGGAATACTTTGAATCTAATATAATCAGGTCCTGGCTACAGCAAGTATAACAAATTTCTACTCAATGAATTCCAGAGGTGATGCTAATAGGATATGCCATTATGTGATGCTAATAATGCATATAGCTCAATATTTAAGGAAAAAAAACTTTTAACATAATTATTTTCTATACTTGTATGCTATGATTTTTTTTACCTTGGTTCATCATAAAAAATGAATTTAAATAAATAAATTCTTTTATAAAAAATTAAACAGCCGTGCGCAACTTGTATTAATTATTCTAATAATTTCACATTCAGAAGTTCTTATTTATACCTGTTTAAATCAAAAGATTGGAAAAAATGGAATAAGACTTGCACGCATAAGGAAAACGTTTATGTAGAAAGCTCACCAATTCGATATGCAAAGAAGAATCCAGACCAGAGATGCTACAAAAATGTGAAACTCCCAATAACTGGCTTCCTCCTCGCAATAATTTGATAGGTCTTAGAGCAATATTGCCCAAGCCATACAGTAGATGTTTCCCAAACCAACTTTTCCTAATGTTCGGCAACATAGAAGCTTGTCCTCTTACCTGAAATCAATCAAATAGAAAATCAAAAAGGCTATATAAATATTAAACAAAACATGCTACACTGCACAAGACCGTTAAATCAAGAAAAGCAAGGGGCGCTGGAAAGTCGATGAGACTCAACCATGTCATAAAAAGGCAAACAAAATTTCATGTGCGAAAGACTTCAAAAAATGTCACCAATATTTGTTCTGTACTTTTAATGAATCTACAGATGTTAAAATACATCCGATCAAACGAATCTTCAGATCTCAATCCATTAAAGGAGACTTACTTACATAACACTCAAAAATATCTTATTTACATACTTAAAACCAATTTCAGAGATAAAAACAAAGCGTAGTTGTTTAAAACAAAATTAGTTGTCTCGCAACTAATTCAAACAAAAACAGCAAAAGCACTATTTGTACTGAGCAAGGTTGGGGCACAATTCTGAGCTCCTAAAAAACTAAAGTGAAGCAACCTACTTAACACAAGAGAGATGAAACAGCTCAATTCATAGATATGTGGGGGAAGCATTAACGGGACTTCGAGAAGACCCAATTCATGGAATCTAAACAAAGAGGACGATAAGAATACAACATAGGATCCCACCAAAAAATAATAATTTTTAATAAGAAGAATGAGGAAGCGAGAATGATCAAAATACGAGCAGGAGAAGCGAAATCAAGTGCAAAGACGAACCCTAGAACAGGGGAGAGAGACCATGAAAGAGGAGACCTTTGAAAGCATGACGAGCAGCAGCGATGGCGATCGTAGGAGGGAAAGAGAAAAAAAAAAAAAAACAAAGGTCGCTACTTTCTTTTTCTTTCTCTCTCCACAAGGACAAGAACAGGCTGACTAAGAGAGACGCGTACCATCCACTAATCTACTATTGTAGTAGTGAAAAAAAAAAACGAATTTGACCTCTGTGTGCTCTCCTTTTGTAAGTTTAAGTGGAAAAATGGGATGGGCGGTGGAAACCCCGGCAAATCCGGCAGAAAATCTCGGCTACCACCGGTCAATAAATATTCCGGTTTTTTTTTTCTTTTAAGAAAATAAAGTTATTATAGGGATTCCGGCAATCGGCAGCTTTTTTTGGTCGTGTCTTATGTTTTTAGGGCATCTCCAACCGACCTCCAAACGCTTGAATGGAGCTCCCGGCCAGCTCCAGCCGAACTGCAAAATTTACGCTATATGGCTGCGGGTGAACAGTGGGACGCCAATATTGGCGTTGCACTGTTCATCTCCGCCATTTTTACCACTCTACCGAACTTGTCGCGGGAAAAAAAGAGGCGACGGTTAACTGCAAAAGAGTGAAAAACGCGTTCCATTGGAGATGAAATCACGGCATTTTGTAGTTTCCGGCATTTTGGAGTGAAAAATGAGATTTTCGGTTGGAGATGATCTTAGTACGTAATCGCAAAAGTCGAAAAATAAATTAGTCAATTAAATTACTTTGAACTATTAATAAAAAAATGCATGTATAAAATATATAATATTTTTTATGATCTGCGATATATTCTTTTAAAATATTTTTATCCATTAATTTAAAATATTTATTTAAACATCATTTTTTTATCTTCTTAAATTGTAATGTGAAATAAAAAAAATGTATATCTAAAACTATTTGAGCCAAATTCAAGTTAATTATGTTCATTAGGAGACACCAACATAGCAAGCCAGCCATAAGAAGGCACCTTCATTGTGGTAACCTTGCCAACGAGTCAAAGGCTTCGTTTGGGACGGCTTTTTTATTGCTTCTTAAAACAGCTTTCTAGTATAAAAATTAAAATTTTTGTACTAAAAAGCTACTTTAAGAAGCAATAAAAAAGCCGTCTCAAACGAAGCAAAAGTGTCCCAAGCCTAATAGACAACTAAAAACAACAAAATAAGTCACCTAACTTGTATATTTATTTGACCCAAGAGGCCGACTAGACAAATTCATCTAAACTTGTTAATATAATAACAAATGAGAATATGAAAATAGAAGGTGGAGACAGTCAACAACTTCGAATTGGTCTTATATATATAGTTTAGGATGGGATTTATGGGAAAAATATTGGTTAATGAGTGTTTGATGGTGCTGAGGTGACAAAAGAGTTCTACAATAAAGAATTTTTTAATAAAAAATATATATCATTATGTGAGGGTCAACTAAGCCTTCTCTTCTTGAGAGAAGTACCTAAAATTTCAAACACAATAATCTTCCTTTTTCTCTTCATTCCATTAGACTTAAATAGTTTCGCATGGAATAATTGAATTCATTAGGAGAAGGGAGGGGGAGGGGGAAAACTATTGAAAGAGAGAGAGAGAGAGAGAGAGAGAGAGAGAGAGAGAGAGAGAGAGAGAGAGTTGTAACTTTCAATAAACCATAGTGTCGTGATTAATTTGAATTAATTCATTCAATTAAACATAAGCAAATAAGGAACTGTCCAATCCCTCAAAGATTTGAAATTTAAAATTTTATATTTTCACTGTATAATCATTATTATAATTCGTAATCATCATATCAAAGTATATTATAATATTTAACACATAAATAAACATAAATTTAAATTTTTATTGATTTATTTTTCTCCTGCTACTTTGTCCTTGAATCTTCTAAGCTTCCTTCGTACTCTAAGCTCTTGAGGTTGGGGTTCTAGATTAAGTTTGGCTCTTAAAAGTTTATGTGTGGGTACCGCATTCATAATAGTATTACCTTTAATAACCAGTTTACATCTTTTATGCTTTCACATAATTTACATGTAGAAAATGCTTATCATTCTCCATTCTTAAGCTATAGCCACTTTCATACACCTCATAGTATTAACATATTCCTTTACAAGTTGAGCTCTATCTTCATCATGAAAAGTGGTGTCATCATGGATCTCTACATCCTCTACTTTTTCATCTTCCTTCCCATATAAGAGCATTATTTTTCCTTAAATTGATCTTGTTTGTGCCTTTTTTTGGTGCCATTTAATGCTAAATTTTCTTTTATCCACATAAAAGTGGGTTCATTGATGATCTTCTTGTGTTTGACACTAGAAGATGAAGGGCTAGGTCTAGCAGTAGACCTTTTGATTTGAACGGGAAAGTTGGGTATGTGGATACTTGACCCCAAGACATAAATGCAACTTATGATTTCTTATGCTTTTCAAGGAGTAAATTATAATAATGAGCATCTTCAAGGGTCTATATATGGAAATTGAATTTCTACCTCTTTAGACCAACTATAGATTTATTAGCTAGTTGTAAATTCTATATAGGACAGTTTATCCTAGACACAAGGTCCTCAATTATATTTATGCAATCCATTACATGCATGTTTCCTTGCCTTATGTCAATGACTATTGATTTAGTTTCTTTTCATGATTTATAGAGTAGTCTTTATCCCTTAGCATTTCATCGATCTCTACCTTGGTGATAAGATTAAATTATGTATAATCCAAATTACATCTATTTCTATAAAAATGTCATTTAATTTTATCATTTTAAGCATAAAATAAAAAATAATATCTTAAAGATTAAGGGAGCACCATGGCTCCATAGATAGAGTGCTAGAGCACTACACTTACCCTAGTGTTGGAGCATTACCAGTTTGGTCTTATAATGGTAGAGGCCAAATTTAATATAAGAGTAAGGCACTAAGGCGATAGATATATAGAGAGCGCCGCAGTGCAAGACCAACCGCTGCAACGCATAATCACTGTAGTAGAATATAATTATAAATTGTTAAATAGACAAATTGATAAAAAAAAAATGATGAACCAACATGTTAAGTTAGCAGCGCTGCAGTGCTACCTAATTAGTGCCATGGTTCTAGTTCAATATATATATAGTTTAGGATGGGATTTTATGGGGAAAATATTGGTTAATGAGTGTTTGATGGTGATGAGGTGACAAAAGAGTTCTACATTAAGTGAGGGTCAACTAAGCCTTCTCTTATTGAGAGAAGTACCTAAAATTTCAAACACAATAATCGTCCTTTTTCTCTTCATTCCATTAGACTTAAATAGCTTTGCATGGAATAATTGAATTAATTAGGAGAAGAGAGAGGGGGAGGGGGAAAACTATTGTAAGAGAGAGAGAGAGAGTTGTAACTTTCAATAAACCATAGTGTCATGATTAATTTGAATTAATTCATTCAATTAAACATAAGCAAATAAGGAACTATCCAATCCCTCAAAGATTTGAAACTTAAAATTTTATATTTTCACTATATAATTATTATTATAACTCGTAATCATCATAGCAAAGTATATTATAATATTTAACACATAAATAAACATAAACTTAAATTTTTATTTATTTATTTTTCTCGTGCTACTTTGTCCTTGAATCTTCTAAGCTTCCTTCGTACTCTAAGCTCTTGAGGTTGGGATTCTAGATTAAGGTTGGCTCTTAAAAATTTATGTGAAGCATTTTATCAGTATGAACTCTTCCATTGTTCCTTCAGATCCTACTTCTTATACAGAAGCTATCAAACTCCTAGTTTGGCGTCAATCCATGTATGATGAGTTTGCTGCACTTCAACAACAAGGCACTTGGAAATTAGTCCCTCCTCCAACACAGAATGTTTTGGGATGCAAATGGAATTTTAAAACTGAACTCAATTCTGATGGAACTGTTGCAAGATGCACGGCTCGCTTAGTCATATAAGGTTGTCGTCAACAATACAGTCTAGATTATCTTCATACCTTTAGTCTAGTGGCTAAGCTTCCCACTATATGCATTCTACTTATGGTTGCGAGTACTTTCAAATAGAATGGTCTTCAACTTGATGTATCGAATGCTTTTCTTTATGGCAACCTTATTAATACAATTTACATGTCTCAACCAACTGGCTTCAAAGACTCTTTACACCTGGACTATGCTTGCTTATTGCAAAATTCTATTTATGGTTTAAAACAATCATCACGCTAATGGTTTGAGATTTTTTCATCATATCTGATTCAATATGGCTTCATTCATAGCATAGCTGATCGCACTTTATTAATTATCACAAGCATTCAACATTTATCTATATTCTAGTTTATGTAGATGACGTTGTGCTCACCGAAAATGATGATGAAACAATTAGCCATCTTCTATCAGATCTTAATGACATATTTAGCATGAGAAATCTTGGGCATATCTCTTATTTCTGGATTTCATTTGTCTCAATCCAAATATGTACCAGAATTACTTCACAAGGCTGGAATGTCTGAATGTAAGCCTATATATACGCCTATTGCTTCAAAGACATCACCTTCTGCATCCAAACTATAGCCACTTTCATACACCTTATGGTATTAACATATTCTTTTACAAGTTGAGTTCTATCTTCATCATGCAAAGTGGTGTCATCATGGATCTCTGCATCCTCTACTTTTTCATCTTCCTTCCCATATAAGAGCATGATTTTTCGTTAAATTGTTCTTGTTTGTGCCTTTTTTTGGTGCCATTTAATGCAAAATATTCTATTATCCACATAAAAGTGGGTTAATTGATGATCTTCTTGTGTTGGACACTAGAAGATGAAGGGCCAGGTCTAGTAGTAGACCTTTTGATTTGAACGGGAAAGTTGGGTATGTGGATACTTGACCCCAAGACATAAATGTAACTTATCATTTCTTATGCTTTTCAAGGAGTAAATTATAATAATGAGCATCTTCAAGGGTCTATGGAAATTGAATTTCTACCTCTTTGGAACAACTATAGACTTATTAGCTAGTTGCAAATTCTATATAGGCCAGTTTATCCTAGACACAGTCCTCAATTATATATATTTATGCAGTCCATTACATGCATGTTTCCTTGCCTTAATATCAACGACTATCAATTTAGTTTCTTTTCATGATTTATAGAGTAGTCTTTATCCCTTAGCATTTCA